TGTAAAAAATCAATAAAATATTTAAAAAATTTTAATTTCACTGTCACTACTGTGAATATATGCCTGAGAGGTGCAGCAAAGCAATGGTGCTACTCTTGCTCTTTGTCCAAGGGGAAATTGAACAAAGGGAGGGACAAACAGAGGGACAGACTTCATCACATGCAAGACTTGGGATGCTACAAGTTTCTTCCTGCTGAACCTCATTATTTTAAGAAAGTAAAGACAAATTCTGGCTTGGAAATTTAGCTTTGCTATAACCATAGGAAGTGTCTGAAGATCTATTCTTAAAGTTATCAAAGGCTAGACTCCCAGCCTAGTCAACATGAGACTAAGCAGAGAAGTGAAGGCCATGGATTCCAGCATCTGGCTATCTTCTGAAGTCCTTTGAGTTCCCTCCAAAATTAATTCTTTTTCTGTAGCTCATAAAATAATTTTTAGCCAAAGACTAATAGCAATAAGAAGAAAAGATCGTTATACTATTTTTGTGTATTTGATTTATTGAGGATGAACTTCATTTTAAATTTTATGTGTTTTAATGTATTTTTTTAAAATTATGCATCAGCTAATGAGATTTCTTATCTAAGCTAGTTTCCTGATTTTCCTAATTCCTCATGTAATTGTCCACATATCTCTCATCCCCTAATTTCCAATTAGAAAAGTAAAGGGAAGATGATATAAGTTTTTTCCTCTAGGCTCAAGATTTCTACACCTTATTAAGTTGTCCTTTACCACAACAACAATAAAAACGTCTCCTTCCTTTTTGTTTCTAAGACCTTTTGGAGATATCTTTATTAGCATGTTTTTTTCCATTTAAAATTTTTTGTTTATAAATAATCTTTCTCATTATGTTACGAACTCTTTAGGAGTCCCTTGGACTTACTCATTCAGGACTAGAACCAGGCCTCATACCAACAGGCTCAAAAGTATAAAGTGAAAGACTAAAAGTTAAATGAAACCTTTGCTGGTACAGTATCTCATCTTGTCAATATCTTCTTTTTAGCCGCAAAGTCCTTAACTCTGTGTTCTGCACCCATTACCTGTATCATTTTTTATCAATGTTCCCTTTACTTATCCCTTTCTCTCTGACTTTTTACCTCTTTACGGAAACTACCTGATGGAAGGTTAGCTTTCTCTGTCAGTTTGCCTTCCTGAACCTTATCATTGCTCACCATTTTATTAACACATTTATTCTTCCTTTAAAGCTGCTTTTACTAAGTACTTGCCATACCTGTAAAATACAGAGTCCCCCCTTACCTGCAGTTTTGCTTTCCGAACTTCTCTTACCTGCAGTCAACTGCGGTCCCAAAATATTAAATGGAAAATTCCAGAAGAAATTCGTAAGTTTTAAATTGTGTGCTGTTTTGACCAGTGTGCTGAAATCTCACAGTATCCTGCTTAGTCCTGCCTGGGCATGAATAGTAATCACTTGGCCCAGCATATCTGCGCTCTTCATGCAGTACAATAAAATATTTTGGGAGAGAGACCACTGTCAAATAACTTTTATTACAATGTATGGTTATAATTGTCATTTTTAAAATAATTTTCATATTGTTTATTTATTAACTATGCTTAATTGATAAGCTTTATCATTGGTATGTATGTATAGGAAAAGATATAGTATATGTAGGGTTTGGTACTGTCTGTGTTTCAGGCATCCACTGGGGTCTTGGAATGTATACCCCTAGGATAAGGGGCACTGCTGTGGGAGACAGACACGGCCTCTATTCTTATAAACATAAAATCTCCCCGGCTTACTTGACTCTTTCAGCCGGGCTAGATTTCAGAGGCTACATCATAAACACAGACGCTAAGAGTGAAATCCCATAAATACTTGGGTGTTGCTTGACAATACAGTAGCAGGCTGGGAGGGATAAGTCTGAAGTACCTTTGATGCTATTCTGAGGTTGTCCTTTATCCTGGTGAGCCAGTGAGGGATAAGCCATGGCTAACTGATCCACAGATTTGGAGCTTCTCGATGAATCAGTTCATTTTTCTAGACGACATAGCCCATCTATAAAGTTCAGCAATCTCACCCTCGCTGGTTTGGCTCAGTGGATAGAGCGTCAGCCTGCAGACCGAAGGGTCCTGAATTGGGTTCTGGTCAGGGCATGTACCTCAGTTGCAGCTCTTCCCTGGCCCAGGCCCTAGTCAGGGCGTGTGCAGGAGGCAACCAGTCAATGTGTTTCTCTCACATTGATATTTCTCTCTGTCTTTACCTCTCTCTCCCACTCTTTCTAAAACTTGTGTATGTGCATGAATTATAAGAATAGCTAACTACAGTAATCAAGAAAATGAGATATTGATGAAAGGATAGGCACATGGATCAATGAAATAGAATCCAGAAATAAACCTACATACATATGGGCAGAGAGGAAGGAAAAGGGAGAGAGAGCTAGAAACATAGAAACATCAATGATGAGAGAGACTCATTGATTGGCTGTCTCCTGCACACCCCTCAATGGTAATTGAGCCTGCAACCCGGGCATGTGCCCTGACTGGGAACCACTGAGCCACACTGATCAGGTTGGGCAATTGATTGTGTGTGTGTGTGTGTGTGTGTGTGTGTGTGTGTGTGTGTGGTGTGTTGTGTGAACCCTGAATTTATTTCTATTTGAAGATGCTCAAGAGACTTTTAAATAGGCCAAAAGGCCCCAAGGCATCTAGGTTTAATTTAAGATCATCCTGAGGTGGTATCCCACGGTTTCTCCTTTTGTGAGGCATCAATTTGATCCTTGATAATGAAACACCTCGATAATTCTAGTTGGATCATGGCGATTTCTTGTGACTCCCAGTATCTGTCATAAATGGCCATCAGGTTATGAACGATGAGAAACGTAATACCAGAAATAATCACGACACGTCTGCAGATTCTACTTGAATATCCTTTCTGCCTTATTCTTTGCAACCAGGCTCAGTGATGATCAATTTGAGTAGCAGAGATCATGATGAGTGTTTACCTGCAAAGACTGATATTAAGTGCAGCTCTTTCAGAACAGAAACCAGCAAACATCCTTCAAAATGAAACACCTGGGCAATTGATTTTTGACAAAGGTGAAAAGGCAATTTAGTGTAGAGAGGATAATCTTTTATCAAATGGTGATGAGACAAATGGGCATCCATTATCAAGGCAATGAACACAATGAACCTCAACCCATACCTCCCTCTATGTACAAAAATGAACTCAAGTCAATCAGTCTGCTCGACACTTCTGTTCAATATTGTACTGGAAGTTTTCACCAGGACTATGAAGCAGTAAAATAAGTAGAAGGACTGGAAAGGAAGAAGTAAAACTCTTTTCTTTGAGGATGACATGATCTGTATATAGAAATCCAAAGACTCCATAAGAAATCAGTAGAGCTAAGAAACAAGGTTATAGCGTACAATATCCAGGTGCAAAAATTAACTATTTCTCGACACTAGCAATGAACAATCTGAAAAGGCAAATGAAGAAGACAGTTCTGTTTGTAAGTTGCATAACAAAGAATAAAATAGGAATAAATTTAACCAAAGAAGTGTAAAACTTGTAGCCTGAAACCTACAAAAAAATGTTCCGAGAAATTAAAAAATTCCTAAATAAATGGAAAGACATCCCATGTTCATGACTTGAAAGACTTGATATTGTTAAGATGGCAATATTCCCTAAACTGATCTACAGATTCATTTCAATCCCTATCAGAACCATGGCTGATGGTTTTTGCAGATGACGGCAAGGTGTAGGTAGAAGCAGCAAGTATTGTTAGGTATCATGGGCCATTGAGGAAAGGCATCAAACCACCAACGGTCTTTGGAAAGAAAGGAATTAAATATACGTTTTCTCTGTTGTTTTTTTTTTCTCTTCTATCTTTAGTTCTTCTGAAGAACTATTATTTATTGTTACAGGGATGCTTCCTTAGAAAAAGGTGGCTAAACGGGTTGTAAGAGCTTTGAAATTTAAAAATGTCATCTTAGCGAGTTCTGAGTATGCTTGGGCAGGGGTTCATGCAATGTCTATTTTGGAAGTCATCAGTTGTTTAGGAACCTAATTCCCAACATGATAGCATTTCAAAGCATTATGGAAATTCAGAATAGCAAATGATCTAACTTTTATAATTCTATCTGCATGTATCTAAAAGAGGACTTTGATAATGTAAAAATAATTTCTGCCTTTATATTGTATGCCCTTGTTTCTATGAGCTTTTGTAACTTATTTGAATTTTGTAGTTGTAGACTGCAAGGAGGTCATAACAAATAATATAGAAACAATAAATGTCCAAATAGGTAGTTCTTCTCTAGAATATAACATGTTCCCTTCTTATAATCTGGTCTCTTTCTTTTCAGTGACTATGTGTGATATCTATCTATGATGAGAAAGCAGTACAATTTGCCATAACACTTCAGATCAACAAAATGTAGCTCAAAATTTGTAATTAGGCCAGGATACCAGGTGAATGGAAAAAAATGAAAGAGATCATGGGTCCTGCCTTGCTTAAGGCTTCATGTACCATAGTATTGGAATAATAGATACTGTAGGTAATATTTTGAGTCCACTGGTTAAAAAACAAACAGGAAAAAAATCCTAAACCCTTATTTGTAAGATTGTGATAAACTTCATTTAAACTTTATAGATTTTTGTTTCATCTGCTTTCATTTGTTTCATTTCATTATTATATATTTTTAAAAAATCACATCTCATACCTTAAAAATTACTCTATTTCTTTATAGCACCATAACATCATGATTAAATTTCATACTGGTTATTGGTATAACCATTTAACATCTATCTAGTTCGGTATCCTCTATTCCTCCATCCCTGAAGACTAAAGTCTCTATTTCTAAGCAAGTCACACTTGGTGTAATTAGTGTTCTTTGTTTTCCCCCACCCTCCCATCTTTATAATCATGATTCTTTTAAAACGAATTCTGACTTTGATATCTTTCTTAAGTGATGAGTGGAGTTAGTATAAACCCTATGAGAAAAGAAAACTTACTTTGGTGATGTTTTTCTTTTTTTTTTTTTTGCAGGGAAACTAAACAGCCAAGACTCCTACAATAATTTTGCCAACAACAACCCTGGCAACCCTCGGCTCTCTCCTCTCCCCAGCTTGATGGTCTTGACGCCTCTTGCACAAATCAAGCAGCCAATGACATTGGGGACCATCACCAAACGAACAGGGTAAGGCCTCAGGCTTGACACTTTTTTTAATAGCTGTGTTAGAGGATTGAATGCATAAAAGAAAACATACTTTTTGTTTGGGTGGTTTCGATTATGTTTTTCATTTCCAGTCCATGTGATACGTAATGGCAGCAGGTTAAATACAAAGCATAGAACAGGCACAAACTTACTTGCACACAACCCTGTACACACACATTCAGAGAAAAAACAAAGCAGTGACAAGTTGTGAAAATGAGTGTTCGCTAATAAAAAACAGATCTAGCTACTTAGTCTTCTACTTGCTGTCTTGTGGCTTTGTCTGAAAGTACAGTTTCATTTTCTTGCTTTTGTGGACATGATCTGGATTTATAATGACTTCCAAATTTTGACAGACACACCTACCTACTAAGATGAGAACTTTAGATGACAACCATGTTTCTAATACTTAAAAAAACACATCTATATTGAGGTATAATTTACATATAATAATCTGTCATCAGTGCTAGGACAGTGTGGAGCAAAGGGTAGTTTTCAAAAGCCAGAGTCCTAAGATTTGGGCTTTACTCAAGATTGGTTGTTAACATCCTCAAAGACTTGATGATTCAGTTCAGTTCATATCTTTGTGCGTATTTTAGCTGTAAAATTCCTACCTGCTAGAAATCATCACTTTTCGTTCCTGAAAATAAAATGCTGTATCTAAGATATCATTAGATATTCAGTTGTGTAATAACTTTGAAATTCATTTGTACCAGAAAGTATATATTTCTATATGCAAATTACCTATTTTCATCAATAAGCAATTTTGGGCTTTAACCTAATTTGGAACAACTGCCTAAAAATTCTATATTCAGCTCATCAGGAGAAAACCCTCTCTTGTGTTCAAATATTCTTCAGGGCCTTTCCAACAAAAGGATTAGATTAATTATTTGGCTGTCTTAATACTGTTTGCTAGGTGGAAAAGTGTTTGCAGAGGTTATTTCTGTGAGAAGAATTCCTCATTCTCAGGGACCAGGCCTTTGAGCTCCAGATTTTACCATAGCACTGAAATTGACCCTATCCCTAGTAGAGTGGTTTTTGTATATAAAATGATCCTTTTGCTCAGTGCAGAAATAAAGTTGAGTTTCTTGCATATGAAGGGGGAAAAAAAAGAAAAAATACAGCAAAGGTAGGCCCAAAATCAGCATTGTACAAATTCTACTTAGGAGTTTTTGACTGTCTTTCCTGTTCAAATTTGTTGTTCTTGAAGTTGATTTTAGTTTTTTTCTAGTGTTTATGTTTGTTATTTTAAAAACTTAATAGGTATGCTATTTTTTAATGCAAAGAGTTAGCTCTCTTTCAAATAAGCTTCTTTATAGTGACTGTAGTTCTATGTATGAAATCACATGATGTTAGAATTTAATTCAAAATAGTTGTTGGAGGGGTAGAAAGGGAGCTTACTTTTGTATATATTTATAATTTTCCATAAAACAGATAAAATCTCTCACTCTTTTTCACTCTCTCTGTCCTTAATTAGGGAGAAACTATGAGTTATCTAGTCTTTTTCTATGCAACCATACTTTATGAACTTAGATTAATTCTGTTTCCTTTTATTTTAAATGTTTTTATTTTTCAATTACAGTTGAAATTCAGTATTATATTATTTTTATGTGTACAGCATAGTAGTTATGCGTTTATGTAACTTATGAAATAATCACCCAGATAAGTCTAGTATCATTTTCTTTTTAAAAACTTGGTTACAAATCCTACATTTTTAGAGCATGTATATTAGACTCTCTTTTATTATACTTAATTTAATAATTATTTATTAATGAATTAAATATACAGGTATCATTATTATTTACTAGACCTTTTATCTCAATTATGAAACCTTCTGTTTCTGCCAAGTATTTGAATTATTTTTAGCATGTCCTATATGAAAGCATTTAGAGAGAATAATTAATATTTCTTTTACAATGAGTATTTAGTTTAAAATTTTTACTTTTACTATAATTCACCCGAACATTTGGTCATAGAATTTTTAGAATATAATTTGTGGTTTTATCCCTTAAACTTTGATCATTTACATGGAAATAGATGTATTTGCCTTACTAAAAGTTATATTTGTTTTCAAGAACAGAATATGTTTCCTGAATTTTCATTTTTGACATATGTAGAGATTTGAAACAAATCCCAGGTATTTTATATTATTATATTTCATCTCATTAGATTTGAAAGGCTCTATTTTATTTTAGTTTATTCAAATTTTTTTTACTATGACCAGTTCTCAATACTGCACTTAGCTAATTTGCGTTATTTTCAATTCAGTTTTGTTATAGTTACTGAGAATTTTGATTGCCACATTAGGGTCAGCAGAGTGATGAGCAAATGGGCTTTTCATTTTCCAGGTCTCTTTTCATTCTGGAAATTATAATTTACTCCTTTTAAAAAAAGAATGTTTTTATTGATTTCAGAGATGGGGGGCGGAGAGACAGAGAGAGAGATATTGGTGGAGAGAGGGAGAGAGAGAAAGAGAAACATCAGTGATGAGAGAGAATCATTGATCGGCTGCCTCCTGCACACCCCACACTGGGGATGGAGCCCACAACCCTGGCATGTGCCCTGAACGGGAATTGAACCATGACCTTCTGGCCAATGGTCAACCACTGCGCCATGCCAGCTGGCTAATTCACTCTTTTTTTTTTTTAATGCTTTTATTGATATTTTAGAGAGAGAGGAATTGAGAGGGAGAGAGATAGAAACATCAGTTGGCTGCCTCCTGCATGCCCCAAACTGGGGGTTGAGCTGGCAACCTGGGCATGTACTCTTACCAGGAATAGAATGGATGAACCAGCAACCTCTTGGTGCATGGGATGATGCTCAACCAACTAAGCCACACTGGCCTAGTTAATTTCCTCTTAACTCTGCTTCTATGAAATGGCTTTCCTAGCATTTGAAAAATAAAATAAATAAGAAGTATTTGACTTGGATAATGTAGAAAGAGAACACAGTGCTTTTCATTTATAGACATGTGAGTTCTATGACTACTTCTAATATACCTGATAATTTATCTAGTAAAATTATACTTCCTTAGGTTAAATCAACATTCGTTTGTTCCATGTCATAGACATGGAGCAAATAAAAAGTTATATTTCTAGCACAAAGATTTCTACGGATTGCGTAGGATCCTATATTTAAATAACCAAATTGAGATGGCAGCCTCAATTCAAACCTTCAGGGGATCACCATGTACTTACCATGTTTCACATCTGCTCTCTTATTTTTGGAAATATATATCCCTGAAAGCTTGTGCAGTGTCAGGGACCATCTGTCTTTCTCCAAGACATGCATGAGGCCAGTAGAACTAAAATGGCAAGAGACAGATGTACTTACACCTTCATGTTCTGTACCTTGAAGCGGCATTTGGAGGAAATGAGGCCTATTTTGGCAACAGCTGCTGCTTCACCCCACTACAGTGTACACCGATGAAGGCAAAGGAAGTGCTAGAAATCATTTGGTTCAACAATCACTCAAGTCAAACAATCCATTTCATCAGTCTCAGATTGAAGGCCTTCGTAACGTTTTTATCACTTGTAAATAGGAATAGTTCTCCACATCTATTAAAAGTGAAACCAGGTGCTAACGGATTGCTCCTTGTTTGGGAGCATTAAGTTTTTATAGTAGGGATTTACTAAGCAGCGTTTTGTAGATATTTGGTTGAGTTAATGAATCATGTAAGTGGTAAAAATTTTTTAATGCTTCCTATCTGTGTAAAAGTTTACTAAATCATTTTCAGTATGCTTAATTTTATGTGCATTAAATCTAAAATTATTTATATATACACATCACTTTATGGGCACAAGCAGAGAAGAGTTAATTTCAAAAAGAGGTCAGAGTAATTTCATGGGAATAAAAAATATAGAAATGAACTTGGGACTGAACTTACTTCTTTGCTCTTAACTAGCTGATCAATTTTAGTGAAGTAAATATGAGATAATTTGGTTTCCTTTTCCTTAAATGGAGCAGCTCCCGGCTCTTTTCTGTTGGGGTCCAGCCCCAGCGGGTCCAGGGGTTCCCAAAGGTGTGGACGGAGTCCGCGAAGAATGAATGACACAGAGACAGCTTTCAGTTGATCAGCATAGCCAGGTTCTCTAGCCAGGTTCTAGCCAGGTTCTCCAGCCAGGTTCGGTATTTATTGTCCTGTTACATCTGTATTTATACCAGTTGATTTTAATCCTATCCATTCTATTCCAAAGGTTAGGGCGTTTGTTAATCTAGTTCTGTTGAGTTTAATCCTGTCTAGGTTCATCTCTGTGTTCCATTACAAGGGCTATTCCAAGGTCACTGCTCTACTGATAAGCTACAAGGAAGTGACTGAAGGAGATTATCCTACCCAGTAAAGGTTATGTCCTCCCAGCCTCGCTGCTTGCCTTCCCTGGGACTGCCCTGTGTCAGTGGGTCTCCAGGGGTATTGGCTTTGGTGCTTTCCCTGGTGGGCAGACCCCTGGGGATGTGGGCCCAACAAGTCCCAAATTTATTGCCAACAGTCTTAGTCCAAGTTCTTCATAAGTAGTACATGTTATTTTTGTAACACTAGGGGGGTTCACTGATTTATTCTCTTCCTTGGTCCTGTTAATCCCTAACTCCAGGGAAAAAATCCCCACCTGGGGAAACAACCTTTCTCGAAGAGGTGACCTTGGTTAAAACACATAGCTCTAAGAAGGGGAGCAAACATATTAAGAACAGTATGCCATATACGCCAGGTCCCTTGAAACATGCTGTGCAGATGTTTCTTCCCTGCAGCGACTGTGTCAAGCAGCAAGGATAGACCGGCTTCCGGCACTTTTCCCCTCCCCTATTCACTTTTTTTGTGAGCAGTTTGAGGTAGGTATTAGGAACCTTGGGCCTGACCCTGTAGGCGTAGGTGGTAATGTTGTGGAAAAAAATGGACTGAGGAGTCTGTAGCCCTGGCTTTTCCTCTCAGTTCTGCCACCTGTTAACTGTGTGTCTTAGGCCAGTTTCTTCATCTGCACAATAAAAATTTATAGGTATAGATGGCAATCTTTCAGCCTTTCAGTGTATGAGTTCCCATCATGCCTTTGATGCCATTACCTGATTTCCAGCCTCACTCATTGTTGAGCCCTAGGCCAGTGCTGAGCAATTTCCATCTAGGAAATGTAGATGATTGTGCTTATTTAGAAATGGCAGCATTTAATAGCGTGTATTTGATTATCTCTAGTTGAAATTTGTAGACCACATCTGTCATCAGAGCTTGCGAAGGTGAATAAATGTCATTGGCATATAGTAAGCCGTGAAGAAGGCCTATTCCTTTTTCTAATTCCATTAGGTCTACCTTGTCTAGACAATTTGTCCTGAGCCCCAAATCACATAGGTGAAGTTCTGAGAATTAATAGGAAAGATTTGGTATAGTAACACACGATAATTCTCCACCTCCCAGCCTTGTCTGCTCTAGGTATTAGTTATTTTTTTATTTTTTAAAATATTTTTATTGATTTCAGAGAGGAAGAAAGAAGGAGAGATAGAAACATCAATGATGATAGAGAATATATATATATATATTTTAATTAATTAATTAATTAATTAATTTTATTGATTAAGGTATATCAAATGTGTGGTTAGATATACAAATGTGCCGCTTAGTTTTATACAATGTATTACAAATGTGTGGTTATTTCCCCATTGCCCCCCCACCCCCCCAGTCCTGCCCTCACCCTCACCCTCACCCTCTGTTGTCTGCTTCCATTGGTTATGCTTATATGCATGCATACAAGTCTCTTGGTTGATCTCTCCCCCTTACCCCCACCCTCCCCTATCTTCCCTCTGAGGTTTGAGCATCTGATTGATGTTCCTCTCTCTCTGGATCTGTTTACATGTGCAATATACTTATCACAGTTTGAGTTTTCAATTTTTGTGCTAAATCAGTAGAGTACTTAAGCCACACCATAATTTGTCCCATTTTACCATAAATCTATGGATTTGGGGTGGGGGTGGGGGGGAGATAAAGTATATTATATACTGTATTAAAAGTCAGAAATAACTTCCTGCAGATATTTGACAACCTATTTCTGCTGTTCTAGTTTCTTTTCTGCCGCATTTGCCAGAATTTGAACATTATCTAATTTTCTCTAATGAAAAGCTTGAGTTTATAATTTAAATTTGTTCATTGAATATATCTCAAATTGGACAGTTTACCTTCAGTTTGCCCTACAGATCAATAATTTGAGAGCCAACAGTGCCATACGTCTCTTTAGTAGGGAGCAGTTAAAATGAATGAAAAAGTAAAAGTAACACTGGAAAATGACATAAGGACTAATTTATTTGCATGTGTGTCCATTTCAGTTGCTCTTAAACAGGGGGCATGCTGGATGTAGTAGGGTCGTTAGGGCTCCTAGAAGATACTGTTAGAGGAGATGGCTTTACAATTTTACTCATGGTGTCGTATAGCTTTTCTTCTGTTTTTTCTCTGTTCAGTATGTTTAATATTTATATATGCTCATTCTAATGTTGGTTAAGTGATGGTGCCTGAATTCTCACAGGGTATGATCACTCATAAAATAGGACTTTCAAAGTGTCTTAATAGAGCTTAGATTCCAATGATTTCGTTAACTCAGCAGATGATTGAGCCTAATCATTACTAATACCTTTTTAGCACTAGATTCAGGTTATAGAGGATTTCAAATCAACCTTTTTACTTACATTTAAGAAACCTTCACAAGTTATCTTGTTTTCTGCTAGCAAGACCAGAGCTTTTGTGGTGCTATGTGGAATTCAACAAAATGCATGAGTTTAAAGACTTACATAGCATCGATGCTCAGTTCCTTCCGGTCTTCTGAGTATCTCCAGAAGAAACCCTTTGAGAACCAATGACCCAGTCATTGCACGCTGGACAATCAACAAGTCTGTAATAAACATGTCTTGATATTTAGTCTCTTGATCAGTCCTAGTGTTTGTCAATCAGAATTCAGCTTTAAAAGGACATATTCATGGTGAAGAGAACAGGTTTTATATAGCAGGATTGTTAAATCTGCTAAATCTTAATAGCGTTTGAAAAACACACATATTCTTAATATCTGACTTTGATAAATTGAGTTGAATATATTCATATAATTTTAATTCAACATAGACTCCCACTCTCACACTCTACTTCCTACTAATCACCCCATATAAAACTCCAACTGTGGGATTTGGGAGGGGAAGGAGAAAGTCATAGGTGAAGACAGCTGGATCATGGACTTGTCCTTTGTGACTTTATATTTTAATTCTTTTGCTATTGAGGGAAGATGAAGCAGGCACATTTCAAAAGAACAGCTGACACTACCCATACAAATTCAGTAATTACGTCAGTCACTCTAATTCCTTGGGGTTTGGGGCTCTTCTCTTACATGTTCGTGGCAGAGGTCCAGTTTGTAGGAGTGGGTAAGAAGTGGTTGAATATAGATTGGGAACATGCCAAGTGTACATTCTAAGGCAGGTTTTCACCCTGTTTCCCCAGCCCTCTGATTTCTCCTTAAGCTGTGTTATCCTTACTTGATTGAAGAAGGATAAAAATATGTTCCCTGTTTATATATAAGGGACACCTAAACCTGGCTTTATAGGTGGGGAACATCAGCTGGTCTTTTGAAATGTAGAAACTTTAAGGTTTTGTTTCATTTTTGTTTGGTTGGTTTTGGGGGTCATTTTGAAGCCTTTTAAGTCATAAAGAACTATGATAAAACTACCAAATTCTTTACAGTGAATGAGCTATATAGTTTGGTATTTGGAATGAGATGGGAGCATACCCGGCATCGATACAATATACACTAAAGAGCAACTCATGCCTAAATGCTCCAGATCACAGGAGCATTTGAAGTATTTGATTATTTCAGATGTTCTGCAGCATGAAGAAAATTAAAGGAAGAGGGTACTGTGAACCAACAGTAACCTCTTCACTTGGGAGGTATATGTGGGCATATGGAAACGTATTGAACCTTGCATTTTCTGATCATTTCTGCATGGCATCTCTATGTTATTGAGAGATTGGAATTTTCATGTGGTCTCAGTTATTTAAATTACTGTTTGTCAAGGTGCAGGGCGAGCTGCAAGTAGTATTTTGTTTCTGATGTAATTAGTGGATCATGAAATCAGAAGAGGAAATTTTCATTTTTTTTTCATTAATGAAATAGAATACAATAAAGTGCATGTCTGCAAACACACAGCTTTGGCATCACCTAGGAGCTTGTTAGAAAAGCAGAGTCTCAGACTCCACCCAGACCTGCCCTGTTAGAATGTTTATTAATCTTTGTTATAACTAAGTCCTAAACAGTAAAGTTGATTACAACCAAAACCCATTCATTAAATTGTTTCAATTTGAGTGTTTCTATGAACAAACCAGCTTGCACCTGAAAATATATTTTTATGGGTCACAGTAAAAAAAAGTTTGAAATCCACTGTTTTAAATGTGAATGATGGCACTTTATCTCTGGTTGTGGTCTTACCATTAACTGTGAGATAAATGTAAGATAAACGAGATAAATGCTCTGCATCGGCATCATCTGCAAAGTTTTTCTTCTATTTCTTGTTTTTAATATCAGTTCTTTCGTCTCACTCCTTCTTCTACTTAGTGTCTCTTACTCCTCTGTTGCCTTGTTCCTAGCTTCTGTGCTTCAGTCCTCAGAATGGTAGCTAGTGTTGTGAAACATTATCCTCAAGTTTCAGTTTGGAGCCAAATATACTCAGTGCACTGGGAGATTAATACTAATTAGCAGGATTTTTGAAATGTCCCTCGCACCAAAGTTGAAGAAGAAAATAACCAAGTTTTGATAGTGTGCTTTCCTTCTCAATTTGTTATTCCTTCCAAATGTCAGATGTCATAGCAACATTTTGTTTCGGGTATAATTAGATCACTCGGTCTTCTTTGTGTGCAAATGTGCATAGCAGGTCTTAAATACTGTGAACAGAGTATTAAGAAGAAATATGTGTAACACCGAAGTCTGACTTTGTATCCCCAGTTGTATTTAAAGCAAGCAATTGTGGCTTTAGTTTCCTGATTCCAGCCTCACCCAATGGCGGCCAGGTAGAGGAAGCTAATCTCTTGTATCACTATTAAGAGAATGGCCAGTTTCCTGGAATGTGACCCTAAATGAAAATAAGTCATACTACTTGTATTTAGTGTTTGTTCCTTTGACCAGCAATATGCAGTTCAACTTGCTATAAATTAGCAGCTTAGAAATATGTGCTTCCTTGCTCTGGCTCTGAGACTGCAACCTGTGAACTGCAGACAATGCTTGCAGAATTTTGATTGAGTTATCTTTGGCTAGTTTTAAACATTCGGTGTCACACAACCCCACATCTGTTGCTATACTGATCCCACTCTTTTCTCCATCCGATTACTCCATTTAACTTGTACTTTATTTTAAAGGGCCTCAGAACTGAATTTATTTTATTTTACCTAGGAACCCTATAGGGTTGCTCCAGAAAAGGGGGAGAAATAGAACATTTTGAAATCTCTAACCCTATGAAAATGAAGGGACTTGTTATATATAATTTTTATTGGTTCTATCAAGCTCATTAGTATCTTCAGCAGAATTACCAATGATTACTATTTTCTTCAGTGATTTACCATACTCTATAACAGTATGATATACATGTATTTGTTAATGTTAAATGAGTTTTTCTCTAATTTTTTTGTGCATTTTCCCCCCTTTTCCACGAAGGCCTTATCTGTTTGGAGCGGGGTGTTTTTCCATAAAAGCTCCATGGTGAGTCCCAGTTCAGTCCCGCATGCCTAATTCATTTGTTGTACTCTCAGAAAATAACTGTTTTGTACTGTTGTTTCCGTTGCATGGCCTGAGCACAGATAGATGCACCGAAGTACTGAATAATTTGTAGATGGGACATGAATGTTGATATTTAAGCTTTCAAAGAGCAGTTTTCTTGGGTTTACTTCATTTCTTGAAAGGTCAAATTAAATCACAGTTTAATATTAAAGAAAAAGAAATTAGAAGAATTCTCTCTCATAATGCTAGTGTATAAGCAAGGCTAACATGCCAGTTTAAGGCTTTGAGCACTGTAGTAATAGAAGCTCCCTACACATCCTGCTGAACATTTGGAAGACTTGATTATATTTTGAAATATGAATATATTTAAAGTATACTATAAATACCCTATAAATTTTAACTGCATGTGGTACCAGAGGAACAAGAGTCACTTCTGCTTTGAATAATTTTAGTGTTTAAGGAGGAAATTTGTGTTTCACATTGAAACTCCTAAATAATTTATAATTTTGAGCTCATAGCACCTACTTATCGTAACTTATTTATTTTGGAAAATTCTTACATAACTGCACAGACTACAGGTTTGTCTTGTAGTTAGACACAATGAAGATGGAGTACTTTTATATAAAGATGTGAAATAAAATGTATTTAGAACCTGGTATAGTGTGTTTCACATAATGGATAAAAGTCAGGGCTTCGGAATCAGACTTCCTAGATCTTAAGTCTCAGCTCGTACACTTCAGCTTGTACACTACCTATATGATCTTGGGTGGTTTTTCTGTTTCTTGGTTTCCTTATCTGTTAATGGAGTTATCAGTAGCACCTAACTCATAGGTTCATTATGATTACATGAACTAACAATGTAAATTGCTTAGGACAAGAAAGTGCTCAATGAATGTGTTGCTACTATTATTTTCTTTTTTATTCAAAGGGAAAATAGCCTTTTTGAAAAAACTTTAAATTAGATTTTTTATTTTTTTTTATTTTTTGCTTTTCCGAGTAAGTGAGGCAAAAGGAAGTTTTGGGCAATGTAAGTTATGTCAATATTATAAATTTACTCAGAATACTTAAAAGAGTTCTGCCCATATAATATATAGTTCTCATAACTGCTACTAGGAGTTGTTTATACTGTCCCATTAGACTAGGAAAAGAAACTTCCAATAGTTTTTCTCTTGTTGGACAAAAAGAAGCTCAAATACCACCTTAAGGGTACAGTATAATTAGACACAAACTAATTGTACTATTCATATGCCATAGGAACATTTGAAAATTTAATTATCATATAAGAATAGAGTGGCAAACATAAAAATTTTCTGTGTGAAATGTAGTATCAAAATTAGGACACAGGTCGTAAAAGGATTCTAAACATATTTAGGGCATAAATGAATAAAAATTCCATGAAAGTCCATCTTTATTCTTTTTGTTAGCCAGGTTTCTTAAAAAAAACAAAAACAAATAAGATACATGAATCTTACTTAGGAGCTTATAGTGAACAGTCGATTTTTAAATGCCAGATTCAGCATACGATAAAATTTCTTTTCAGGCTAAACTTAGAATTAAATTCACTCTTAAGATAAATGTCTCATTCTAAGTACAAAGAAAAGAGTTTTAGCATGTTAATAAGGATTGAAGTTTTAGCATAGAAGTAAAGACGTAGTAACAAATGTTGTATGTTAAATAAGAAAAGTCCATTCCTTCAACAGCTTATGTGCTCCTCAAATTTAAGCAAAAGCACTTGTCAACCAGAAATGATTTGAGGTTGAAACAAGATTAAAAGAGCCAGATTAAAGAAAGGGATATGTGAAATATAGTAGACTTTTAAATCATTGCCTGTCTTTTAGAAGACTGCCTTGTGGTTTGTTTGATGCCATCGTTAGCTCACAAGAAACTCGTTTTTAGTCACTTATGCTAGCCTACAAGATCCTCCTTTCAAATGCGTTCCTTTACTAGTGGTGCATGTTTTTCCCATTAAGATCTTAATGAAACCTCAAATTAAGGCAGCAAAATGAATATAAATTTGACAACTTCCATGTTGTTTATAAGAGCTTCTTTGTTTTAACAGTTTTTGCTACTTTTTCCATGGTATTTAGCATTCAACTTGAGAATGTTTTATTTACTGTTCTGACATAGAACATTATGCTAAATAATTATGTTTATAGTATTTCCACTTGTAGGGTAATATTTGTATCGTGGAAGATGAAATTTTTTACAGTTCCTCTTAAAATGTTACATAAATTTTATACAACATTGTTATTACTTTCAAGTTGCAACATTTATATTTAAATATGATTTTGCTTTGGTTAGGTCACAATTTCTACTTATTTTTCATTCTTTGATAAACTTGTTGAAGTGTTTAAATGCATGCAGTTTCAAATGAGTCAGTTTGAAATAATGTCTTTCCCTTTGGTAGTAAAATAAACTTGTTGGAAAGTTAACTGTGTAGGCCATCTTCGTCATTTTAGCTATTTATACATTCTCAGGATTATGTATACCCTAGGATATTTGAGTTTGAATGACTGTAAAAAATAAAGTAAAATAATCACACATATGATATACTTTTTTAATACAACAATTTGTATTGTGAATTTTTGAAAATAAATTTTGCTTTCAATATTACAAATAAGTAACACATATTTATTGAGCTCCTAATGTGCATGTAGTATTGTGTTTAAGCTACTGCTATTTTTGAATTACTAATCAAAAGAAAAACTACATATATAATAGTGTGGAGGAAAGGTAGTCCGTTTGAATATCTCTCTTACACATAACCTGTTTTTGTATGATATAAGGTTAATTTTAAAGAAGAATTTAAATGTTACATAGTAAGTTATATTAAAGTGTTAATTAGCATTGTCTGAGATTATTCATTTGATTTATATATAAATAGTTTATTTAAACTACCTTGTTCTTTTGAGAGTATTAAAAATATAATTTTGACAGTCTGTAGGCCAGGGGAAGGTCATGGGGACAAAAAGGAGACATATGTACTACTATTTATAATACTTTAAACAATAAAAAATATATATATAATTTTATTTTTGGAAGGAAAGATTTATATGAAGAGAATCTTTTATGTGCAAAGTTTAGATAAATCTGTGAGATTTTTTAAGAACACTTTGTGATAGGATAATTTTAGATATATTATTAATATATTTAAAATAAAATACTTCCAGTTTACCTTTTAGTTCTTATTTTAGAAAAATAAAGTTGAAAGTGAGAGAAAACTTCTAAATTCCTTTTCAAAGCTTAATCTTGGTGAGGCATACAATGAAAATTGCTTCTTTAACACGAAAACATTTTACCACTTATAATTCTTACATCAGTGTTGTGAGCATTTAAACTGAAATACTGACTGTACCCTTATGTTTTAGAAAAGGAAAGAAACGGTGCTTCTATCTCCGTCTAGCTCCTTTCATGCCTGTGTCCTTCTAAACAAGGCACCCAACATTGCTGCTTTTCATGCCATCCACAGATACATCACTTATATCCTGTTCTGTAGGACCCAGTAAAATTACCCAGATGGCCATCATTTTACTGTAATTTTAAAGCAGATAGCGATAGAGTCTTGCTGGGTTTTTGTTTCTCTTTGCAGTAATGTTGGAGAGAAAAAAACAGGCAAGAGAAATTCAATATGTTAATCTGACTGTATTACATAATACAGTAAACGCCAATTGGGTGACTTCAATAGTCTTTGTAAATAATTTTAAAAATGTCGTAATGTTAACGTCCCCAGAACTCCTGATGGCAGTAAAAATGACTCTCATTCTACGACTAGATAGTTAAGTCTCTCAGAAGGGATGAACAAGAAGTTAAACTCCTGGGTTTCAATTTAGCACCTTATTTCTTTTGTTTCTTTGTATGTTTATTTTACTTTTGATTTTGTTATCTTGTGTCAAGTTTAGTAAGTATGATTCTTATTTGCCTGATATGATGAAAGTTGAGGTCATTCCATTCTTCTTTTACATTTTGCTCAAATACGTGTTTTTCTTTTGGAACATGGGTTCATTTATGATGGGTTCAGTGGAGTAAAGAGCACAAGTTCTCAATAGGAAGGAGCCCATCTGCACTGTCAGTATGTCTCATTCCCATTTATAACCATAATTAACACAATTGAATTTCTGGACACCCGTATACATGGGAATTTCATTTTTTATATCATATTATTAATTTAATAAAATAATGAATAGAGGAGAGGAGGCCTTCAAGCACCCAGAGGTATTCTTTTTAAACTTGCAAATGTTTTGTGATGGGATTTGAGCATAAAGGGAGATGTTTAGAGAGAAAAAGAAATAAAAGGGCTAGCATTGGAATACTTTTCTAAATGGCTGTGCCGCTAATCTACAGGTGAACACAATTTACAACTCTAGCTTTTTTCACTTTTAATTCTTTCGCATATTTATCATTTTTCAGTATTTCATTTTTTTAAAAACATATTTCTATTGATTTCAGAGAGGAAAGGAGAGGGAAGGAGGGAGAGAGGGAGGGAGGGAGGGAGAGAGAGAGAGAGAGAGAGAGAGAGAGAGAGAGAGAAAAACATTAAATACGAGAGAGAATCATTGATTGGCTGCCTCCTGCATGCCGCTGACTGGGGATTGAGCCTGGGACCTGGGCAGCCCCAACCAGGAATGGAACTGTGACCTTCTGGTTCATAGGTCAGTGCTCTACCACTCAACCATGCTGGTTAGGCCATTTTTCAGTGCTTTACTTTTTATTTTATTTTATTTACTTTATTTATTTTTAAATATATTTTTATTGATTTCAGAGAGGAAGGGAGAGGGAGAGAGACATAGAAAGATTAATGATGAGAGAGAATCCTTGATCGATTGGCTGCCTCCTGCATGCCCCCTTCTGGGGATTGAGCCTGCAACCTGGGTGTGTGCCCTTTACCGGAATCTAACCCGGGACCTTTCAGTCCACAGGCCGACGATCTATCCACTGAGCCAAACTGGCTAAGGCCATTTTTCAGTGTTTCATATCTCTGCTAACAAGGGTAGTTTGCAATAGAAAGATTCTGAGTTATTGCGGAAAGGTTCAATTCTGCTTCACCTCACATTCCTGGTATTGGATTTTTTTTTAAACTTAGGATGAAGGGCAAATTCAGTCAATTAAAATTTTCTCCCATTGGTTATAGTACACAGAAAATACTTTATTAATAATAACCTTTAGATTATTCCCCTTGTATTTTTCTGGAAGTCTTATATACACATGCACATATTTTATGTTCTATTTTGCTTAAATACCATAGTCCTTCCAAATGTAGGTTGATGTAGAAATAACTTGTTATGATTATGTTCGTCATGTATGCTCCATGCCTAACACACAGCACTATGTCATGTAGGAGGTAGCAAGTTATTTTCAGGGAAGAAAACTTATTGAACACAAACTTTTTTACTAATGTGATTTATTAAGGGCCCATCTGAGGAAAAAGAAAGCTAGGAATAAAAATGATCACTACAGACCTAGCTGGTTTGGCTCAGTGGATACATCATCAGCCTGTGGACTGAAGGGTCCTGGGTTCCATTTTGGTAAGGGTACATGCCCGGGTTGCGGGCTCGATCCCCAATGTAGGGCGTGGAGGAGGCAGCTAATCAATGACTCTCTCATCATTGATGTTTCTATCTCTCTCTCTCCCTCTCCCTTCCTCTCTGAAATCAATAAAAATATATTTTTAAAAAATCACTACATAATGTTATGCATACTTTTATTATAATTGCTTATTCTCTGTAGGAGATAATGAGTTTATGTAAAATGATGCTGTGTTGGTGCTTTTTAGCTGTATGTTCAGAAGCTGAGTTATTTGCAGCATTAAAGACATGTAAGGGATTTTACCTCTGATATTGGCTGATTAGACTGTAAACTAATAAACATACAGAATATATTTTTGCATGGCCAAAGAGTAAATCGATGTCCTCTCATATTTCTACTCTTTATTGTTATGCTATAAAGGTCGCTCTCTGGTCCAGCAGCAACTATTTTAAAGTCTTTTTAGGATGTATTCTCTAGATCCGCCATAGTCTCTCTTAAGAAGTGGCATGAGCACTTGTTTTCTATCTTAAAACAAAAAAAATACAACATTCAGTAATTTGCCAAGAGCTTTGAGTTCCTTGTGAAGCTTATTTATACGTTATAGTCTTATTGTTTCCTGATGGTGATTCTAGTAAAAATCACATAGTCACACAATTAGAAACACCTTTCAAAAAATTCTGCAATGGTGTTTTTCTCTCTCCTCCTCCTTTCCAACCTCCCCAAACACTTAAGGGTTAAATGACCAATGGAATTTAAAAGATGCTCCTTACAGGAACTTAACAGCTCAATGATAGTAGTTCAGTGATGGAAATAAAGGCTTTGAGGGAGGGTTTACATGGTAATGTAGTGCAACAGAGAGCATCTCCACCAGAAATAGCAATTCTGATGCCATTGCTCGGGAAGGGGCACTCTTGTTCAGGTGGAGCGGACTCTTTCCTTTTTGTTGGTAGCTTATTGCGGTTGTGCGAAGGTTATTGCACTTGTGAAACTGTTTCATTTCCTCACAAAAACTATCTTTATTCCCTTCAGTGGAAGTCTGACTGTGACAGGCACTCGTATTTTAGGCGTGGATTCGATCTTTATGGGCAATGACACAAAGTGCTTAAGAAATATCCATGGAAAGCAGAGACCTTTTCATATATGGAATATGCGTTATGTTGGATCTGGTAGCAAGGGAGGGACCCAAACGACCAACCACAATGGCCTCTGATCTAAACTTTGTGCTCTCCCTACCAGGAAGTTGTCAAAACAGAGGGCTCGGGAGGTAAAATGGGTGAGACTATTTCAGGTGTCTTAAGGGTCTGGAAACTGAGATTACAAATGCAAACTCTAATTAAAAGAAAAATAGAAGAGAGTTAACATTGCTGAGAATTATGATATGGGGAAGTACTGCCCTTAGAGCTTTATGCACTTTACCTGATAGTGTTTCTTTCTTTCTTATTTATTTATTTATTATTTTTTTATTGATTGATTAAAGTATTACATATGTGTCCTTATCCTCCTATTGCCCCTCCCACCCCCCACTCATGCCCTCACCCTGCTGGTGCCTGTGTCCATTGGTTAGGCTTATATGCATGCATAGAAATCCTTTGGTTGATCTCTCCTGATACAGTGTTTCTTAAATCTGAGTATGCGCCAAATGTCCTGGAGGGCTCCTCAAAAAAAAAAAAAAAAATAATCCCACAAATTGTTAGGCTTAACCCCCAGGATTTCTGATTCAATAGGTCTAATGAATGTTTGCATGTTACGAAGTTCCAAGGTGGCACTACTAGTCAGGGACCATACTTTGAGAACAAATATACTAATCCTTAAAATAACCCTATGAGGTAGGCATTACTTTTATATTTTTTAATTTTTTTACATACTGGTAGTCTGAGCTCTGAGAGGTTAAATAACTTAACCCAAAGTCACAGAGCTAATAAGTGGTAGCATTGGGATTCAGATTCAGGTTTCTTCCTGACTCCCCAAACCAATCTGTCTACATCCAACCATACTTTATTAAAAGATGAAGAGATAAAGGACAGTGAGCAAAACAAGGTAGAAATAATGTTACTCAGCATTGGAAACTGACTAGCAAAGCAGGAACATCGGGCTCTGTTATTCCTGTGCCCCAGCTAGGCTGTGATCATGACCAGTGTGCAGGGAGGCTGTTGTCTATGAATTAGAGAAAATAATGCCATCACTTATCGAAGGTGTTTGGCAAATTGCTAATGAGCTTTGGGAAGCCTCTGACAAATCAAAAAAGAAGGGAAAGAAGGATTTGAAAGAATAGAAAAGGTTGGTACTAGAAGTTGCTGGTATGAAAGCTGATTTGGGGAAAGCAAATAGGAAAGTGCGTGCTTTTTAATGCCAGTTCCGAGATGTAGCAGCAGTTACGTAATGTGTCCTCAGACACATGAAAAACAGAACAAAAACACACACATCATTTTCACACATCTACGAAGAAAAAACAAATTGGAAGATCAGCGAATATAATTGCATGACATCATTAGATCGACCCACACGTTGTCTACGTCCTTGTAGCACTGTGGCTGAGAGCACTTTCAGGGTTTCATTCTGTATCACCTCATTATTTTCACTCATGCTGTCTCCATTCAACTGAATTGTCACCCCCAAATCTTATCTATCAAAATGAAAAGGTAAACTGTTTTATTATCCTGAGATGTTTATGGTGGTTCTGTTGCTTCACTCTGAAATCTCCAGGGAATTGTTACCCATCTGAAAAGAAGTGACTTGGATTTCCCCAGCACGTATTTCAGAAAGGAGTTAATTCTTATTGATCTGATAAAGCTCTGGAACTTTGAACTAATTTTACTCTTACTGCAGAACACAGCCTCACACTACCAGTTATTAAGGCAAAATGCATGTCCACATTGAGGGGGCGGTTGAATACTTAGGGGTGGAATTTTAAGGAAAAGATGTCATTATCTCAAGGACTGTGACTTCCTCATGGTAATTTTTTTTTTGCTATCATTTTATTTTTTTAAGCAAAGTTAAACCACCTCCACAAATTTCACCCAGCAAGTCGATGGGCGGAGAATTTTGCGTGGCTGCAGTGTTTGGGACGTCCAGGTCATGGTTTGCAAATAACGCTGGTCTGAAAAGAGAAAAAGGTGGGTATCTCACTGAGGGTTAAATGGGCCTTTGGTAATATTTGTTTCTTGAGGGAAATTCATAGCTTTTCTCCTTATCTCTGTTTTAGAGATGAAGTGAACTTGAGATTGTGAGTTTAAATAGCTAAAAGCACTAGTTAGTAAGTGATGGTATCAGAGTTTGAAATTGGGGTTTTTTAATGTTAAATCTGAGAGCAGGCAGACAGCTCTGGTGGGGGTGGGAGGGTTGTTGGGATGGTGGTGGAGGGATTGAGCAAAAAAGGAAAAAAAAAGAGAACTCACGGACATGGACAACGGTGTGGTGATTGTGGGGGTTGGGTGGTGGAGAATGGAAGAGGGCATAGAGGCCATAAATGGTGATGGAAAAAAAAAAATCAACAAGTTTGCCATATTATAAACTAAAAGTTAAAAAATAGGCTGCCACTCAGAAATAAAGGTCATATTTTATGGTAACCATTGCTCCTTTGAATTCATATAGTTATTTAAAATTTTTCTTGTTATTGTCAACCCTCATGGAGGGTATTTTTTTCCATTGCTTTTTAGAGAGAGTGGCAGGGGAGTGAGAGGTGGGGAGGGAGAGAGATAGAGACATACAGAGATAGAGATGTGAGAAGAGATATCAATTGGTTGCCTCGCACTTGTGCCCTGACCGGGTACATGCCCTTCATCCAGAATCGAACCCACGACCCTTCAGTATGCGGGGCCAACGCTCCAACCACTGGGATACACTGGCCAGAGCGAATTTATATAGTTTTTTTTTAAATCCCTTTTTTTGATCATCAGGATCAACACCTAAAATGTTTACATTAATTTCCATTTATTGTGTGATGGCTGACTGATTCTGTGTAGAGGAGAATCCCTACATTGATGGACCACGAATTTCATTTTGAATAAGCTTTCCCCCTCATTTGAGTTCTATTGAAGTAGGTCACATTGCTATTATTATGAGGCACTGCTTTGAAGAGTTCCAAGGGCTGTATTGTTCTTGGCTAAACGAAACGGTTCTCCGTTGCGCTTAATGCTGGCAATCAGACGTCAGCCCCTTCCCTGGTTATCGCCTGTCAGTGACCCTCTCCAGGGAAATAGGATCTCCCGCACAGCAGGTTCCTTACCTGAGTGGGAGAGGATACAGCACAGAACGCAAGCCTTCCATTTCCTTATCCCATCTTTATTTTTTTGTTACCTCCTTAGCTTTACTGATGCTATCGAAATGACTTTTTGTTGCTAGTTAAAACCCTCTGTGTAGCTCGATTTCAAATGCTTCTCCCTTCTGTTCTAATTACCCTTTTAACTTGCTACTCCTTTATGTACCACTGACTGGTCATTAGCCATTTTCCCAAATCAGCTGTAATGAATTCCTCTGGCCTAGAGATAAGGTGACCCACCCAGCATTCAGGAGTGGTTTTCTATGCTCCTAGGTTTACTGTAAAACCCGAGATAGAGGACTGAACCTGTTCTGGCACTGAGGACATGTGTCCTCCTTCTAAAGTCATTTGATTAGGTCCATATTCAGCACCTGACCTCCCTCTTCATTTACCATGGAGGCCAGGGATCCAACTGAGAGAAAAGAAGGAAGAGGATTTGGGGGAGGAAGATGTGTGAGTTTTTTGCTTGCTGGTTTGTTCGAATCCAGAAATGTGAAAGGGAAAGTGGATGAGAAGTTGGGCTGATGTCAGCGTACAAAGGGCTCTCATGCACTCGAGTGGGTACTTCTGGTGCCACTCTTAAGTCTTTGTCCATGCAGTGTTGCTTTTCAGTCAGTCTGTCCCTGTCCCTCCTGATAGCATTCTTTTTTCATAACGTGGGAGACATTATATTGCAGACAAATATACCAGACTGAAAAATACTGTTTCACTGTATTAGAAATTTGCGTATACTTACATCATTCTTGAGGTGCATTCCTTAAGATTTAAAAAATATTTAGATAGCGTAGACACTTTTAAATTCCTTAGTTTATACTTAGTAAGAGACAACTTTTAGGCAAGGAGCAGACACCTTACCCATTCATGTGAACAAAATTCCTGCCTTTTTATTTTCTCTTAGTAGCCTCAGAAGAGATTAGAAATTCAATAGCTTATAAAAACTATGCTGTGCTCCTTTTAGGTCATTATCAAACATCCAGGTTCTATTTTTTTGTTTGTAGATCAGTCCAAACAAGTTGTAGTTGAATCTCTGTACATCATCAGCTGCTACGGGACCTTAGTGGAGCACATGATGGAGCCACGGCCGCTCAGCACTGCCCCCAAGATTAGCGATGACACCCCACTGGAAATGATGACATCACCTCGAGCCAGCTGGACTCTGGTTAGGTAATACCACCTTTCTGTTTTCTTTCTTTCTCTTGTTTAAAATTTTTAAAAATGTATTTATTATTGTTTAATCTTTATTGTTGAAAGTATTACATATGCCCCCCTTTAAAAAATTGTTTACATTTCAGTAATAGGCTCTTCGGGACTGGTTTGGGCTGTGGGTTGGGGACTCAGCTCTTTGGGTCCTGGCTCTGCCCTTTGGCAGTGGGTTCAGCTGTTCAGGACGAGTGTCAGCACATAGGGACTAGGAAAAAAAATTAATTCATAGGGCACATATGCATTCTGGTCTGGTAATGGGACCAAGTTTTAAATTGTCTACTATCTGGTTATCTTGTGACATCATTGCAAAGATAAGCATAAACCCTTCTGGAGAAAGTATCCACAGTCTAACTTGAAACCCCTCACCTCCAGAGGCCCTCCTCCGTGGACCCGCACTGTGATGGGTCTGCCTCCCAAGCACTCCCTTTTCCGTCCCCTCAGACTATAGCACATGGGCCGTAAAGTCAAGCTTCCGTGCAGTTATTATAACGAATGAATCACTCTCTAAATAATACTTTGAATACATTACAAGGAAATTATACTCCGTGGCATTAAACACAGTTGGTTAAGTTTGGAAAAAATAAATTTTTTTTTTCAGTAATATCCAATTTCCAGTTTTTTCTTAACAGCTTTATTGAGGTATAAAATATTAAATGTGTACAATTTGATAAGGTTTGACATCGGATACAGTTGTGGAAACCATCACCATAATTAACATTATAAATATATTCATCACCTGCAAATGTTGTTTAATGCTTCTTTTTAATCTCTCCCTCCTGCCCCTCTTTATCCCTACCTTTGCCATGGAGCACCAGGCAACCACTGTTTGCTCTCTCTCACTGTAGATTACTTGATGAGTTTTAGAAGTTTACATACATGGTATCAGAGTGTGTATTCTTTTTTTGTCTTGCTTCTTTCATCCAGCAAAATTATTTTGATTCATCTCTGTTGTGGCATGTATTGATAATTTTTTCCTTTTTGAAATTGAGACATAATTTACACATAATACAATTCACCCCTTTAAAGTAAATTTTCACTAGGTTATGTACCCATCCATCACCACAGTCAGTTTTCATCAACCCCAAGGGAAACTTGATACCCATTAGCAAGCACTCATTTTACTTTCTGTCTCTATAGATTTACCTACTTAGGACATTTAATATAAGTGGAATGAGACAAAATGTAACCTTTTTGCATCTGACTGCTTTCACTTAGCATAATGTTTTCAAGGTCCAGCTAAGTTGTAGTATGTATCAGAACTTTTTTCCTTTTATGGCCAAATAATATTCCATTGCATGGATATACCACATTTTGTTTACCCATTCATCAGTTGACCCACACTGTGATGTGACTTTTTACCTGCCATGAATTACGCTGCTAAGAACATTCGTGTACAGATTTTTGTGTGGTCATATATTTTCAGATGACTTTCATATGTGCCTCAGAGAACACGTCCTTTTGAACTCCTTTCTCCTTGTATCTTTGTGTTACCTCTTCTCGGACTTGGGTTTTGTTTTTTCTTTTTAATTTTCCACATGCTTCCCCTTATTTCCAGTCTCATGCTCACTGAAAATAGAGAGTGCACTGAGGCAGTCATTGAAGGGAAATAAACTAACATAAATAGATTGAAAGGTTTCCTTTACAGTTATTCCCCAATATATAAAGGCTATGACTGTAGAAGTATTTATTAAGAATCAGAATCCTGCCTGGCTGGTGTGGCTCAATGTTTAAGCGTTGACTCATGAACCAAGAGGTTGCTCAACTGGTTTGATTCAGGATCCCCAGAAGGAGGCAGCCAATTGATGTTTCTCTCATAAATGTTTCCATCTCTTTCTCCCTCTCCCTTTCTCTCTAAAATCAATAAAAACATATTTTAAAGAAATGAATCAGAGTCCTTCTTAAAAGTACATAATCACTAAAATCTTTATAAGCTAATACGGATCGAGAAGTTAAATCTAGAGTAAAACCTTTTCAGTGTAGTGTACAATGAATGGTATAGGAGAGAAGAAAAAATTGGTCCTGACATGTATGGAAGGAAACAGACAAAAATGGATATGAAAATGATCCCTTTCCTTTTGACATTTTAAAATACTCTTATATTGATTTTTCAAGGCTCCAGCATTCTTTACTACTACTTTACTGCACTAGATTGATTTGATCAGTAGCTTATTTATCAGGTTATTCATGAGCGGGCAGATCTAATTAAAATTACTGCACCATCATTGTTGAAATAAGTGGTTTATTTTGGAACTCAGATGCTAATTTGTTCTTTAATACGTCACCCACGAACATAACTGTGTTTTTCCCCACCATTGTCTTCCCTGCTTTATTCTATTTGAAAATACACACATATTCTGAGAATAGAGAGCTCTAAAAATTGTCAGAAATTAGGTAAAATTAGAACTACTTAGTTTTGACATTTGAATTCCACACTTCCTCTCTGTCCAGTATTTTGAATGTCCTGTCTGTCCTATGCCGGGGGAGGGGGGGTCTGCTTTAAACTGACACTGGCTCTGTGTGATTAGTATGAATCACTGCCACCTTTTTATTCTTTTCTAAGCAGATGGCCTTGTGTTTTAGGTTTCAGCACTCCAACAAGTTCATTTTAATGATTACAAAGATAGTGTGAGTTTATATCAATGTCTGTAAGTGGTGACAGTGATGTTGATTTACATACCATCTATTAAGCTTAAATATTAATATTCTTCTGCTGTTTCCTTAGAACTCCTCAATGGAATGAATTGCAGCCACCATTTAATGCAAACCACCCTCTGCTCCTGGCTGCAGATGCTGTACAGTATTATCAGTTCCTGCTTGCTGGCCGTAAGTAGTTCCTGTGTTTTTCTTTCCCTACAGTTATTTTGAGATTTCATCTTCAAATGCCGACTTTTAATGCAACCATGCGTATTACCACTGGTCCATCATTCATCAGCCATAAACAATCAGATGGAGACAATAAGATATTTACTACAAATATAAACCATAAGACTTAGCATGCATTAAGTAAGCCTCTGCTGTCCTTGTTCCCTGGCCGTGAGATACATGCTATTATGTAAGCTGGGAGGGAATTTTCTGGTGGGCTCAAAGGTGTTAACAACAAGAACAACAAAAGGATACTGGTATCTGTTTCTGACATGAAAAAATTATGTACTTTTTCACCGTGAAAACTGTGTTGGCAGATTTTTCTTTTTGTAGAATTTTACTTGCGATAATGAAGTAATGATGGCAACTCCATTGGTTTTTGTACGTCTGCTTTCATATCCAAACCCTTACATTTATAGAGATTGATCTGGGTTCTTTTGTTACTTGAGAAAATGTACATTGAGATAGAAACAGCCTTGTTTATGGGGGGGGGGGCATGAAAAAACAATTTAGTATTTATTATCCAGTTTATGGTCATAGAATTAAAAATTCCTCACAATTATAATTCAATTTTGTAGAAGTGACTGGATCCTTAATTTCCCTTCATGGGTCTGAGCAGTGCATGTTTTTAAGAAACTTCCTAAAAATCAACATTGACGTGTTTTTAATGGAGTTTTGTTGTATTGGACTTATTATTTCACTTGCTGTATTTATACAGCATGAGGTAAAATATTTTCTAAAACTTTTTTATTTGATGTTTATAATGTGTTACATATTAAAATGAAACAGAGAAAATTTATTGACTTTGCTCTAAAGTTATGAGACTATAATTGCAACAAATAGTTGGCAGTCTTGCTCTCATATAATTGAACTCACTGATTTTTCCAATATGCATTTATTGAGTGATTTCTATGTGCCAGGCACTTGTGATTTAAAGTGAATAGTACGTTGCTCTGTCCTCAATGAATTCACTGTCTATCTCGGGAGGTAGGTATTTAATGAAAAAGTAATATAAAATTAGGCACATCAGTGAAGCGTTTGGTTAACAGTGAACTATGAGAACAGTGACTTAAGTTGCCAAAGCCTTTACCAGGAGGGGTTTATGTAAAGTGATATTTTGGTTCAAAAACTGAGTACATGATAGTTGTTAGGTCCTAGGTTATCTAAGCATATATTTAACTCTATCATATGCATTAGAAAAAAACATGACACTTATATAATATCTAATTAAAATATGAGAGCATTTTCCTCTACCCTTTATTATGGGTGAAAATAATTGTTAAGTACAGTTGACTCTTTCAGAATTAATATTAGTTTGTTTGTTTTATTCTTTTGATAGGCCTGTCCAGTAGACCAAGCAGGTCTCAAATATTGGAGAAAAAGATATGGGCAAAAAATAAAATGCATCTATCTTTATCCTTTAATTTTTTTCTTCCAGCAAATTAAACTGCTTGATATTACTTGATTATAGCAGCCCTAAACACCTTTGTCCAATTCTTGGAACTACAAAAATCCCCTAGTGCATATTTTAGGAACCACCACTGTAGGCAATAGCAAGCCATCAGATGTTCTCATTGGAGTGACACCATCAGAACTGCATTTTAGAAAGATCACTCAGGCAGTCTGGTAATAGGAGGTTCAGAGGAGCGGAGGGGAGTAGAGGCTGAGTGATCCTGGAGCGAGAAGAGGGCTTTAATTAAGGCTGTATTACACAAAAGTCAGGGCAAATCTGTGATCCAGAGCAGAGTTGGGATAGAAAGGAATGAGAGATAATTTGACAGAATGCAGTCACTGATGATTCTGTGATTTCTAATTAAAATATAATATAATGCATTTTGCATGGACCTTTTGAATATCAGGTGGACTAGCAATGGGATAAGAATGAAAAGGCCTGGGTTTCAGCTCCTAACCATTTGTCAATAACTTGATAAGTATAAAATATCAATAATAATAATTACTGTTATAAAGGAGTTGTTATTGTCAATGAGGTGATGTTAAAGTCCTTTAAAAACTGTAATACAGTACCCTTATTTTCAAATAGTAGACTTTAGGGCCTTAATAATGAAATAGCTATTCTGGCCACCTGATTTTGACCATGTCCATTGTCCACTTGATGGATCATCATTAATATACTTTTTCTTATCTTTTGAAGTGTTACTATAATAGGTCACTATAATAGTGTTACTATAATAGGTTACTATAATAGGTCTTGAAATACCTAAGCGACAGGTAATTTTTTACTACTTCTGTACATTGAGAGTGTAGACACAGAATTCATCTGGATTTTAAAGTCACGTTTTCTTACATAAAGAAAGGATATTTGATTAAGAATATTCCAGTGTATGACACAATTGAAGCAATTAAATGAAATATGCACAATGTGACATCTGCGTCGGAGGTACAGCCTGACATACAATTGGCAAAAGCAATGCTGGAGCCAGTTTATAGAGAATGCTTTTCCCTGCCCATCTCTTGAACCCTTCATGCAAGTAGAACCTCATTAAAAAGACTTTCTTATTACCTTCCTGCTTTCTCTCCAAACGCTCCTTACTGAAACCAGGTGGAAGAGTGTGGCCTCTTGAAACACAAGGATACCATAGTTGACGCTGGAAAATTTTTGGCTTTACTTAGCCATATTGAAAATCACATCTTATTTCCTGACTTGAAGACCATTGTTAAATACATTACTACAAATATTTTCAAATAGAGCCATTTGGAGTAAAATTCCAGTGCTAACTTCACAAATGCTGCAAGCATTTTCTTTGGTTCTTTTTGGATCTGTGGATCAGGTGAAGCAGACTTGTGCAAACTCTGGAAATGATAAATAATAGTCATCGACAAAGAATGATGTAAATGGAAATGGGAAAGAGACTTGGTCTCAGGGAGAAGAGAGTAGGAGAGCCGGATGTTGAGCAAGGAGTCCCCACTCCTCTTCCAGCCCTGTAATCATAATAGATGCCCTGCTAGTTGATAAACAGAGTTATGCATGTGTGGCAGGAGGGCAACTGGTGGGGAGGGAAAGGAAAACCTGCCTGAAACACTAAATACTAACTTTAAAGTGAAGTAAGTAAAAAGGCCAAATTTTGTATTTGTAACTGTGGTCACATTTCCTACCTATATTAATTGAATGGAATGGTATAAAATTGAGGATTTGGGGTGTATCATTAAATCATACTAGAGCTGCGGTTGCCAACCTTTTGAACCTCATGGACCACCGGTTGGTGACCGCTGCTCCAAAGGTTTCCTTAAACCAGCAGTCGTCAACCTTTCGAACCTCATGGACCACCACTGGTCTGTGGCTCACCGGTTGGCGACTGCTGTACTAGAGTGCTCTATACAGAGGTCCCTATGGAGGCAGGGAGAACTCTTTGTTAGTAGGTTGAGCCTTAGGAATTGCTGATTTAAATAAGTTTTTTTTAAAGTCAAATATCAGCAAAATGACATGGTTTGAATATATTGATGAATTTATATGTGCAAAGTGAATGTAAAATGATAATCTAATCCTATCTAATAATAGACAAACATGGTAATTGACCGTACCTTCGCTATGCCTCCCATTGGCTAATCAGCGTGATATGCAAATTAACCACCACCAAAGATGGCAGCTAATTTGCATACTGCAGGCAGGGTGGGGCAGCACCATTCAGCCTGCCCCGCTGCCATCCGGGCCTACTATTTGCCACCCGGGGCGGTGGGGCGGGACAGCGCCATCCCGCCTGCACTGCCGCCATTCGGGCCTGCTATCTGCGACCCGGGGAGGCGGGCGTCCCGTGTGCGACCGGACCCGGGGCGGCCGGGCGGTGCAGCAGCGATCGGCTGGCCAGCCTGGCCGCCATCTGGGCATCCCATGTACGACCCGGCCCGGGGCGGCTGGGCGGGGCAGCGAAGGCTTGAAGGCGGCTCCGGCCGGAGTGAAGGCCTGGGTCCCGGGTGCCGGAGGAAAACCGGTGCCGGCAGCCAGGAGAAGGGAAGGCCTATTGCACGAATCTTTTTGTGCAACAGGCCTCTAGTCTTTATATAACTCAGTAAAAGTAAAAGTTGGGAATTATTATAAAAATGTTTTTTCCTTGGTTATAAGTAATCTTGGGAATAGTTGATAAAAATATTATACAGAGGTTAATAGTTTTTTTCTAATGCCTTTTCTAAAATAGGCATTTTAAGTATGATCCTAAAGTAGATGACCTTTTTTTAAAAAGTCTGCTCCAGAGCTTCCCCAATTGTAAATTAAAAAGGGGCATCCTGAATTGACTTGGGGAAAGTTGTATTCATGGGGGGAAATAAAGTTTCCTCCTTTTCTTTCAGGAAATTGGGCAGCAGCAGTATTTTTAAGTTGCTGACATTAGGTAGCTTTGTTGGGGGTGGAGGTCAGACTTCTTTCTAAAATAATCCTTGGGTATATGAGAAGTTCCTCCCTAAGCTTACTGAGGTTTTTTGTTAAGTAGTAACAAAAGGCCATTCAACAGAAATACAGCGTTGATACACAACAGAAAGGTGACTGGGATCTATAGAACCTTCCTGTGTTTTATTGGGAATGTAATTGTCTTCCTCTGCCTTCAAAAGCATCATAGGAATGGTGGGGAGAGCCTTTGCTACCAGGTGGAAAGGAATGAAGAACATTGAAAATGTTTAAAACTGATATCCTTCTCACCAATGTGTTTCAATTGGATTTGTGTGTGAAAATAATGTGCTTTGATTTCATGGAGTATTTCTTGAGGTTCCATTTCAATAGTAGCTCCCCACAAAGACAGAATAACAAGGATCAGTTTACTATCCTGCCTGAAACAACAACAAAAACCAGAATATAGTTTAAAGCAGGGGTCCTCAAACTTTTTAAACAGGGGGTCAGTTCACTGTCCCTCAGACCGTTGGAGGGCCGGACTATAGTTTAAAAAAAAACTATGAACAAATTCCTATGCACACTGCACATATCTTATTTTGAAGTAAAAAAACAAAACGGGAAC